GTTTTTTGGTTTTGGTTTGGGGTGTTGTTTTTTTTTGGTTTTGTTTGTTTGTTATAGACATTATTATGGCAGCCACTGAAGTCTTTCTTGAAACAGCTGTAGCTTTTTAATATCCTGCACTGTGGTTCCTGTAGGAGCAGGAAGCTTTCAGCAATACCAGACCTAAAGTCTTGCCCAGCAGAATTAGTTTTGTAGCAGATGGCTCAGCTGAAGTGCCCTATGGCAGATACTTTGCCAGATGTGTATTTCATACTGTCTTAGGTTGCAAATGCCAAATGCATTTTTGAGTGATAATTTAATCATTCCAAAGGTTACCACTCACTTCCTTCTGAAGTTCACCTTAAATATTAGATATCACCAGCACTCTCATTCCAACCCACTTGTCTGGAGCACTTCTAGTGAGAAGCAACGCTTACCTCTGGAGGCATTCCCTGATGCCTACAATGAAACAGTACCTCAGTGTTGTAAAAAGACAATTTTGGCCTTGTTTTCAGAACACCACTCAATAACAGAAGGTGAACAAACAGGCAGTCTGGTGGTGATCTGAAAACCTGCAGAGCTTCTTTCAGTTCTGGGACATGCACTAGTTATCTGCAATTAGAATCTGAAGAGCTACCTTGTCCCACTTGGCCCTATAAAGTTTGATCACTCAATTCACTCAAATAGTTCTAGTGAAGAATTCAAAGTACTGCAGATGACTTATGTCCAGTTTGTTTGACTTCAACTACATCCTTAAGTGCAATTTAAAACACCTCTGACATTGTGGCAAATCTATTGCAATGCATTTAGGCTGAAATATATTGCTCAATGTTTTGAAGATATTAATCTGCGTTTTATAGCTCCAGTTGCTCTGCCTTTCCCATTCTTCTGAAAAAAACCAACAAAACAAAACAAAAAAAAAAAACCACTGGAATATTAATGAGGTTGAAAAAAACCAAACCACTGTTTTCTGTAAAGAAGGTTTGGACATTGATATATTCACTCAAAATCTACACTCTGTGTTCTATGAAAGAAGTTTGAGCACTGAAGTTTTCACCAGCCATGTCTGAATTACGTTGCTTGTAAACAAAACAAATGATTTGGCTGCCTTCTCTAAAGCTAAATCCACACTTCCATTTAAGAAAGGGAAACACTATTGCACTGGAAGAACCCTGCTGTTTATCCTGCTTTTAATTGATGTCTCCATTATCTGACCTCTCAAAAAGGCTACAAAAGCAAACACCATAGTGCATGTTTGAATTGCCTAGTCTCCCTGCCCAGGCTGATTTATTGACTGCAGTTGAAGATCAGCCAACACTGAAGTGTAACTGACCTCCAATATAGTGAGAGAAGTCACTTGGCCCAATATCATTAAAACCAATTAAGCTGAGCCTCTATAGGACTGCAATCCCAAATTCCAGTTACTGAAGTTCTTGGAAACTGTAGTCAAAATAGGGGATATGCTTATCTGACCTGGTGGAACAAAAGCCTGTCTTGCCTATCACCAAATAGTTTTGATTTGGGGGGTTTTACAGACTTCTACCTAATTGCATATCATTAACATCATGATATATGCTCCTTTCCAGCATTACACCCCAGTACTGTTTAAAAATACATGAGCAACACCCAACTCCAGCTGCAATATTCTTTCTTCTAAAGCATGGACAAAAATTAGGAAAACATTGGAGCTATATTTCTAAGTATTCTACCAATTTCTTTCCAGGACTAGGCTGAGACTGAAAATAAACTTCCACAACAACCCATTCAGATATAACAAGCACAAAAACTGTTTCTGAAATGGCATCAGCACCTGGCAGTGCTGGCAAGTTTTTCCATGTATTTGCCATCTGATTTTAATTACAGATCCTCTGGTTAGAAAATATCACTAATAACTATAAGCAAGAACTGCAGAAGAGAACAATTTTCAATATATCCTCAACACCTTCAGTCTTTTCTATGACTAAGTGACTGGGGAAAAAAATATTGTATCTTGGGCTTGGTCTAGGATGGAATTCCTGAAGGCAACTCAGAGAATTAGAAAACAAAAATCTCATGTGTTCACAGTAAATAAAAGTTAAGTGACATTGAAAGTCTCACTTCTATCACTTAACATATGTTCAGATCTCAGGATTCCCACCTCACCCCCCCAGTAATTTAAATGTATCACTGCAATTGGTTTCAGTAATTCTCCTGCATAATATGGAATGCTGTGTCCCTGTAAATACCGTGGACCCTCTTGCTTGTAATGCTCACCAGTGTATTTTGAACTACTTTTCATACCTTTATTTCAAAGGTGGTTTGAACACACTCTTAATAAGGGTTCATTCAATAGCTTTTTTATAAAGTGCCAGCCTGATAATTGTAGGGGAGTTGAATTATAACCTAGAGGCCTTGTTTCAGCGTTTTTTATAAACAATAGGAAGGCAATGTTCTTATTGTGATAAATCCTCAGTAGCTGTCAAGCTCTGAGAATAATACATTCTCAACTTAAGTTCATGTTTACCAGAAGGAAGCAGCAGACATAATAACCTTAGATCCGACTCACCATTAGCTTACTTTTCTGGAGTTAATTGTTACAGAATGGCAAGTAACTTTTCCTACAATTGCTACAAATGCACATTTTTAAGAAGAAAGACAACTACCCAAGTACAGTCATTCAGTGCTTGTTCCTTAAAAAAATAAAATAATAATAAAAAAGACCAGAGGTTAAAGCCATTCAAAGAGACTTTTACATATTGTTAAAATAAAAACCTGACATTTTGTTACCAACATTTCTCTCAGAAGCCCTCTATCAATATCTCTAGCACCATCCCAGAGATGCAGGGTCTACATACAAACTTGACAATTCCTTGAATGAAGCTGTAATGCCTTCTTCCATCCTCCCTTAGAATTGTCCATATCCATTTCTGAGGATTATTTCAACATCCAGAATGATGACTTCCATTATTTGAGTATTCCTATTCTTGACGCCATAAAACTCAATAGAAGTCTATGAAGGACAGTGGGAATGAGCAGTAGGAGCTGGGCTCCTTCTCCTGCTCCACCTTTATTCCAGTGGGGATGTCCCTTCCTTTCCTTGCAGTGACAGATGGTGGTTAGGATAGATAGCTTGGTTTATAGTAACTGGTAGTATCTTTAAAAAAAAATAATTCAAAACATCTGCTCTAACAAAAGACAGACATGAGCCTCAAGTTACACAGCAAAGCTCCCCTCAGATTCCACTTCATGGGAAAATATGGTCAAATATCTCAGAATTTCAACACTGTGCTCTATTCTGGATAAAGCACAGTGACAGGCAAGGAATCAAACTTCCAATAGTCTGAACTCAGGACTTGTAGAACACAGAAAACAAAGTCAGTACTGTACTACACAGCTGGATTTAGGAACATTGAATTCTGTTTGGAGACACTTGAAGCACATATGTATTGCATAATCTCACACAGACTTGGCTTTGTGAACACAAAAACTTCAGCTTGGTACGCATGGCAAACTAAAATCAAAATAAGATTCAAATATAACTGGAAGAAAGAATAAAGAGTATATTCTTAGCCAGAAATTCTTGTATTTTGAGAGATGAAAATTGAAAAGATCCATTTTAAAAAGAGAGAGAAAAAATTTCATAGTATGATTAAAAATAGAGGGCTTGAAATCTAGGTCATCATTGACACTGGGTTATGCAGAATTTCTATTTCATTTCTGGGGATAAATATATCATGTTTTATCATGAAAAGATAATAAATTCAATTTCCTCATCACTCCATGTCATAGGAAAAAATTAAATATAGTTCTTCCCACCACAGTGACTAACAACCTATCTCCAAATCCAGTCAAAATCTGAAAGATTAGTTTGTCAAAGCCACCACCACCAAATCTCACTCATTTCACGTCACAAAAAACATTACTTTTTCCACAAGACTGATAGAATCAAAGCCATCCAAGCTGCAATTTCATCAAAGCTAAGGCACATACAGCATGCTATGAATGAAACTACTTGAGTAGAGCACACTTCACTGTGTCTAAACTTACTAAAAATGCACAGAAGATTTTGTAGAGTATTTTCAAAGAACTAGGGGAAGATAACTTATTGTATTCGATTAGAGGAACAGGTTCAAAAATAAGTGAGCTTGTGCTTCACAGGAGAGGTAATAACAGCACTGAGAAATGAAGAGTTACCAGGGCTTTTTATCTGAGACTGTGATGTATCCCCAGATCTAATGTGAGCCTACTTGTGCTAAATAAATTCCAGAATAAATGGGGATTTCACCTGTTTGACCTGCTGCCCTGTCCCAGAGCCATTACTTGCTCATCATAATCTTGTTGATTTGTTTTAAAGGTTAAGTAAATCCTTATAAGGATCCTTGAAAGTAAAGTGTTCCACAAAGTCTTGAATAAAATAGAGCAACTTGTGAGTGTTCCTTTTTGTTTTGTTAAAAATCTTTAAAACTGGCATTGCTTACACTGTAAATAGGTTCTTTCCACTTCTTCAGGTGCCTTTTCTAGGTACAGGAATAACTTCCACAGGCTGTTGAGACTGTCAGAAGAAATCTGGAACATGATAAGATATTTCCATACCCTACAGGAAACACTGAAACTTCAAACAGTGAAAATAAAATGTGAAATAATATTTGCCTCATTAGGATAAACAACCTGCTAATAATACTCAACAATCTCCCTTTGTAGCAGCAGCTGATGTACCAGTTTTCCTTCTACTTATGGTTCCTTCACTCCACAATATTGAGGCTCTAACTGAGCTTTGTGTCATATGCATATCCAGGAAACAAACTACACTGCACAGCTACTCACCAAAACTTCCAATGAATTATCTCTTGAAAAAACCAAAGTCTCCTGGCAATATTTCTTTAACTGTTTCATTAGCAATAACGAAGCTTATGTCTCTAATGTACACCTGGGTCAGCAAATTCCTTGTCCAGGCTTAGACAAGCTAGAGAAGAACATCTCCTCCAGATGGACATTAATAATTAAACTACATTTATTGAGGGAGAGCAGCAAGGTAACTAACTCCCTAGGCAACTGCCAGTGGCCCGAAAACACTTCCATCGCCTCCATGCACATCTGGGATAGCTGGGTTTGCTCAGTTGTTCAAAGCAGGCTGCTCATATAAAACACCAAAGGCCAACACAGGCAGGACAGCAATGTGTGCTGCTGTGGTCCCTCCTCTCACTGAGACCCAGCCTCTCCCAAGAAAAACAACAGCAAGGTGCAGGCAGTAAGCACAGCTCCCTGGATTTGCTTACTCCATATTTGTACCTTGCAAAAAAAACCAAACCCATGCAGTCACACATTTACCTTTTCTAAATGAGTCACACTTCCTTCTGCCTTTTGATTAATAAAAAATGTAGAAGTTCTGTTTCATTTAGAAGTGAGTAAATTTCTCAAATATTTAAATATTTTCATGTCAGGAAATTTATCTCTGAGCTATGGGACATTGTTTATGCAGCTCTCTCAAAGTTAGCTAAGGACAGAAGCCCTTGCCATGATGATGGGCTAAAACAGAACTGCATCTTGGATTCACATCTTTCAAAAGAGAGATGCCTTGACAAGGTAACTCATGCATCTTGTCACAATTTGAAACTCAGCTGGGCATAGCATGCATTCAACACTTGAAAGATGCTGTAGAAAATCACATCACAGACTCTCACTTTTTCTTCTCTACCTGAATTTATTCATGACCACTGGTTACTCTGCTAATATTGACCTGTAGCTTATGTAGTATTTCACTGCTCCGGTCTCTGTAGTTCATTGCTCTGACATATTTTTTCAGCAGAAATCATATCTTTTTGTTGCCTTTATTTACCCAGTCTAAACAAAACAAATCTTTAAAGGCTTCTTTGACATGATAAGGCATCTATTTTGCAGATAATCGCTCTTCTGTACACCTGATTCTCTGAATAAACCAGTTGTAAAAACTGACAACCTGTCCTGCAAAGTGCTGACCATGAGGGCAAACTATGAGGAATTAACTATTTCCTTTACTCTGTAGTAAGTACCTGCATGTTCCTGACTGTAAAACCCATTTACCATTCTCCCAGTCCTCGTTTACATGGTACTGATATCCCCATACCTTATTTAAAGATCAGCTGCTCCTCTTTTCTTCTTTCCCTACTTATTATCCTTTTTTCCTGTCCTCTTTTCCTTTATTTTCTGAATATATTCTCATCTACAGACTTCAGATAAACAAGCAACTGAGCAATGGTCTTAAAAATATGTGTTTACAAATGTGTATTACAAAGTTTTTTATGTCCTCAAGGAACAGAGGCTGCTCCATTCTCAAGCAAAAGAAGGCCTATACAAAGTATAAAGACAGTTGTTTATCACACTTTCTCTGCTGGCTTTCTTGGTCATAAGGTTATTTCTAAATCTGTCGTTGATTTTGATTATTTCTAAATCTGCCCAATGGTTTTGATTAAACATCTGTCTTGTCTCATTCTGCTTCATTATTTGTGAAATGGAGTTAAAAATATATTAACAGATTGATAGGAGTGTATTAATAAATTCAAGGCACATTTTAAATTTCTCAGAATTAAAGAGTGATCAGCTTCTCTAGGATAGAGTAGATGTCTTGTACTTTACACCATTGCACAAATTCACTTCTACCATTTCAAAGAAGCAGTACAAACACATTCATTTTGTTCACTTTCAGAATCAGTACATTCTATGAGCTAAAATACTCCTCATAATATCTTGCTGTGATTCCAGATCCACAACTTAAAATCTGCTTAACTCCTGGCAACAAAAATCCCAAAGTCACCATTCATGCTGGTGATATTAATCACTGGAGTTTGAGCTGCACAAGTCAGAAGGCAAGTTATAGGACAATCTTAAGATTTTTATATGTTTATATATTATATGTTATAACATATTTATATGTTTATATATTATTTATATGTTTATCTATTATTTTAGACATTTTTATATGTCTAAAATTCTTTTCCCTTCATTGAAAAGCTCTGTGAACATACTAGCAGAGAGAGAAAGAACTATATGAGAACATAACCACCATCTCCCATGTTTTGAACAGTTTATGGAAACAAACAAGATAAAATATCAGGAAAATTGTATTTTAAGGGGGGTAAAAAACCCAGAATCCGCTCCCACCTCCCCTGAAAAAAATAAAAATAAAAATCAACCTCATCTAGATCTCGTATAACATATACAAAAGAAACCCAGCCAGTTTCTTCCCAGAGGCTTACTCTAGATCTAAATTTAACCTTTCCACCTTCATTAGCAATAATGAAGCAGCTGAATTTCACAGTGTCATCAATAAGCACAAGCTCAAGCCTCATTTCTAAGCCAGACATATCAGGAGATTAATGCTGGCTGTTTAACAAGCTGTACTTCATCCCCTACAAATTTTGAATCAAATTGCTTTTAAAAATGCCTTCCATGGAACACAGAAAATAATCTGAAAAAAAGGAAGCCTTAATCATCCACCACTCCTTTTCCAAAGCACAAAAGTTGTAATTTAAAGTCTAATGTTAGCCTGACTTCCTTGTGAGAGCAACTCACTGTTTTCCCTCCTGGAATAACAGCCCACTCACATTTCGTTGCTGCCAGGTCCTCAGGCTTTATCTCACTTTGTGCACTTGTAACGAGGTCTCATTGCAGCTGCCCCTGGCCACAGCCAGCCTGCTTTATCCACATGGTATTCCCTGAGCCAGGCCCTTAGCTGAGCTCTGTGCCACTGCTGCTCCTCAGCCTCAGTGCTCCATTCATCAACAGGAAACAGGTTTTGTTTGGGGTTTCTATTTGCTTTTGTTTGGGTTTTTTTCATTCCTATAAACTTGAAAAGTTTATTGGACTAAAAGATCCTCCAACCTTTCAAGTCTCCTGAGGATAAAAATTTCCCTGTCTGCATGAGCATGTAATGCATGCATCTGTTACTGCATGATATCAATAAATAATTTTATCCCAAGGCAGGAAAATTTCATAGAAGGATAAGGAAGTGGATTAAAATTGTTCAGAACCAAATCCATAACTAAATAAACTTTGTTTTCCCATTTCTTGAAGGAAGAAAATATATTTCTATGAGTTTGGTCAGGAAAAGGAAAAATGAATATGCCACTTAGATAAACAGAGCATCTAAGAATGTTAAATATTTTAAATAGGTTGCTTAGTACAAATACTGTTGTTTTATGAGGGTTAACCTTGGCACCAGTAAAAGATAACAAGTGATTGCTTAAAGAACACTGTGGGGTAAACAAAACCATGACTATACAAAATCCATGTTTCAGATGGGGAATTATTGTCCCATTTCCTGTCTATTTTAAACTTGTATAATGTGGCCACATCAATATTGGAAAAATAGAGGGTGATCGTAACCATATTCAACACTGTAGTTCTGAAGAGAAAGGCAAAGGCAATTTTTGGCAATCCAGTTCAAAAAAGGCACCAGGGATTCTGCTGCGTGGGAAGAACCTGTTCTCCCATCTTAGGTTGCTATAAAAGAGCAGGAAAAAAAACCCAGCTGTATTAGGTATTCTAAAGTATTCTGTTGCTCTTTTTTACACAGAAAGCTAATGGTTAAATTTAAGAAAAGCTATGTTCTGTTCAAAGGCTTGAGACTATATGAGGAAAAGTGCTGAATGTGTTATGTGTATCTTGAGGAAAACTTAGGAAAAAAACTGAAACAACGTCCTCAGGTTTTTTGTTACATTTCCTCCTTGTGACATCTTTGTTGAGCTCTATTACATCCTTCCTTACACCAAGCAGAAAAGAAAAATTAAGCCCAAATGCCATCCAAACAAATTCTATTATAAATTATTCTTTCTAAGGAATCAAGAGGTTAAAAAGGCAGAATATTAAGTAGAAGACTTACTCAGGTTTTTGCAATAGAAGTATGGGGAAAAACAGAACATTACAAAGACTTCTATGAATAAGATCTTCTGAAAATGGGATCATTTTCATGCAATTTCACACAATTTGGATGCTTTTGTTTGTGTTCTGCACTCTCAGGTGTGATCCCACAGGGCATCTCCTCTCCACACTTACCCTGATGGATGAAAAGGAAAATACACTGTAAGGACCCATATCCATCAAATATTTTGGGATATGCAGTCCAGCCAGAAAGCACAGCCTAGCAAGGATAATAGAAATGGTATTAAAGTCAGCTCTCAAGAAAAACAGCAAAATTATTTTGAATTAAAGTGCTTCAGATTCCTAATAAAAACTTAACATATTTCAGTTTGGGCTCTTTAAACATTTCAATGGAATATCTAAAATTTCTATTAAAAGATACATTTTTTAAAAATACAAAGCATCTAGTTATGCAAATAAAATGTTTCAATAGCTCTACTTATTCTAGTTATTCAATAACTAATACTGAAAATAATCATATTACATTCTTTCATTTGTCACAGTGGAAACCATAAATGCCAGATGAAGTTAAAAACTCCCACATTAGGAGTTCACCTATATTGAGACAGAATAAAGCAGAGCTTGTATCTGGTATTGAATCTTCTTTTGAGTTTACTGGGACATGTGCTTGCTGGATGGAATCACATGGCCTGCAGAAAACCCAGCTTCTGTTCTCTCTTAAGCTCCTGAAAGAATTGGAAAAAAATTGGACCCACGATCTCACACGAAGTATTTGGCATATGACCATCTTTCATGTAGCACTTAATAAAACCACTATTGGAGCTTTCCAATATTTCCAAAATAGTGTATCTGTTTTAATTAACCTGAGTTTATTTACTCTTTTCCATATGAAATCTTGTGCAAAACAGCACATGATCCTTTCTCAGTTTTAAATATTCAATTTAATGTGTCTCATGCACATACACTACGGGCTTGTGAAAGTCTTGCATGTCTTTCTATTTTGGAGCAATTATTCCTCATCCATTCACTAGTTTCAACTACATGCTGTGTCAAGTAGCAATGCAGAATCCCACCTGCAAAATCATTGTCCCACTTTTACTTGTTTCCATTCCATGTAACAACTTTCTCTCCCATCATGCCCACATCTCACACTTATCCAAGCCTTCTCACACACAACCTCCTCCTTAACTCCCACCACACTTTCAAAATCTCACATTTCCAACTTGTCTTCCACATGAAGTTATGATTCAGGGTTTATAGGTATCTGGTTATATAGGTACATAAAAAGTCATGATTTAGGTTATATTGATGTAACTCAACCTATATAAGCACCTTGTGACTTTGATCTAAGTTATACAGGCATCCCTTATAGGTTTTTGAGGAAAACCAAGATGAAAGGCAGTCAGTGATCCAGGATGCTCCCTACAGAAACACAAGGAGCAGCGTGTGGGTGCCAATCCTTTTTGGGGATATGGATTGGCCGAGTGGCTGAGGGGACGACCCAGAATTCAAGAACAGGAGGAAACAAAAACTAAGGCCACCACACACCTTTCTAGTGCTGCTGTTTGGGGGTGCTGAGGGCACTGAGGCTGTTTTTCATACCCTTTTCCCCACATTTTCTACCCTTGCTGGTTGTGACCTCCCCAGCCCCAGCGGCTGCACGCGTAACAGGAGCCAGGTTGGAAGGGACCACAGTGGGGCATCTGGTCCCACCTCCCTGCTCCGGCGGGGTGACCCCAGAGCACAGGGAACAGCACTGTGTCCAGACAGCTCTGGAATACCAGGGACAGGCCCGCCACACCGGCCCCACACAGGCGACATTGCCGCCTCACAGACACCGGGCCGCAGCCGCTCTCCCGACATTATGAGGCACCGCGCACGTGACGTCAGATGCCACAGCCAATAGCGGCCTCTGTTTAACTGGGGACGAGAAGGTTCGTTGCATATTCACGAGGCGGGAACTGTGCCTGCGTGACGTCACGCTGTCGCAGCCAATAGAGAGCTCTGTTTGCGGAGGTTCATTGCATATTCATTTATGCATATTCATAGCCACGCACTTTCGGTGCGGTAGCGGCCGCAG